TCCACTTCTCTACCAACCTCTTTTTAACATGTGTCAAGGTAGCACCTACAGAGAGATACATCTGAGCTACACAGAACACATTTCAGAAAACTGGCACTAGCTTCTATTTAAACTGTGAATTTTCAATCCCATTTTAAAGGTAGTTAAAATTTGACAGTAATTTCTCAGATCTCTGCAGAAATGTAAATTCAGCAAAACTCAAATTTCTTTAACAGAAAAGGCAAGTATCCACCTTAATCCCAACAGGATTGCATAAATGCTGCTGTTCCTTTGACAAAGGTCCCCCACAGCTGAAGTTTAAGCAGATGCAGGTGTAACTATACCAGCGTGCACCATTATTATTTATGCACACAATCCTATTGTTTTTCCTATCAGAGACTACCTCAACACAAAACTACACAGCAGCTTAAGACTTCCTGTAATGCTTTGGTTTAGTGCTTAGAGTACACAGGCTGCAGGCAACGTTTGAAGAGGGAAGTACATTTGAAAGCTTATGATGCCTTCATCTTTTTGTTTCTTTTTGAGTTCTACTGAACACAAAACTCTTTAAAGATAAATGGTGGACTGAGCTTGCAAAATTCCGTGTTAAAGATTTAATTAGAGAATCTGAAGATGTTAAGGCCAATAGTTTGTGGCTCAGTGGCACAACTGCTCTCTTAAGTGGTCAAAGCCATGAGCTGAGAGCCAGAAACAATGTACCCATCCACTGGTGAAGTCGTGGGCCATTTGCATGTATCATTACACCTCACCAACAGCTGCAGAATTAAGAGATGCCTAATTATCCAAGCAGGGAAGAACAAAGCAGGTCAACTGTGCTATTCTGCATGTTATGAAGTACATTACTGAACCATGTTCTATCAATCAGCACTATATTTGTTTCACTGAAGTTATACTGAAGTACAGTTACTTGGTTTGGTGATCTACAGTCAAGCATAATTAGCCATTAACTTAAAAAAAAATCACTGGTCACATCTGGAAAGCAAACTGGAGATCTTCACCCTCCCCACTGTTACCTCAGAAAGGAAGCATCACATTCCAGCTATTCATTACAGATCTAACCGTAGTTAATGTAACTCTACATAAAGTAACTGAAAACTAATCTAATTTCAATTATATTACAGAATTAATTTAACTGGTTCAATGGAAGACATGATGAGTAAAGTGAAAGTATTTAAGATCTTAAAAACTTTAATCTGTCACAGAAAAACAAAAAGCCCCCCCATTAAGAAATCCAAATGCTAAGTCCAAAGTGTGTGTTGTAACTGCAGTCTCTTCAGCATCCCTCCAGCTTGCACAAATGCAGATACTCATCAGGATGTGACCTGACTGAGTAATCATTTGACAACAACTACATATGATAGTTCATTCCCAAGTTGCAAGTACCAAAACACTGCATTACACCATAACCGTATTTTTCTTCTTTACAAAGGTAACAAAATAATTTACCATTGGTTTCCCATAAAATGGAAAGCCTTGTAGCTGTCTCAAAGCATTGGTAGATGATCCAAGTTCTTTAAATATAACAAATGCCTGTCCTCTCATCTTCATGGTCTTTAAGGCCACAATGTCGACCACATGACCAAACTGTGAGAATAATGCATACAGGGACCTCTTCAGCTCTGGGGACCAAAGAAGAAAACAGATTATAACAGGTTACATGCAAACTTCAACTTCTATGGAGTCTATTGTCCTTTGGGAACAATGTTTTTTACAAGCTTTAGCTCACATAGTGAGTACATGAGTTTGTCAAAACTGTTGCATCAGTACAAGTTTATTTGGCCAGGTTTTGTAAGCTGGTGTGCAAAATTTGTTTCCATACCTCAAGGACTCAGGTAGTGAAGTTGCAGTGCCATCCATTCTACCATTCTGAGGGAGTAACAATTACATAAGGGTATGTAAACACATATTTTCATACAAGTACATACATACATTTTCACACACATACACTCTGTCACACAATCAAGTATGATGCACATCTCAGCCATCTCAGACTGAATAGAAAATCAAAACTGAAACAAGCAGCAGTAAAGAAATATGATGTAAAAACAGAATGCAGCAAAATAATAACTACCTAAAGGCTAATTAAAGTTGGAAATTTTGGTTGTAACTGTTTAATTAATTTTCTCACTCACATGAAGTATTGTTTCATATTCTGGATCAGAATGATTTTTGTATGAGACTACTGCAGCTTACAGCTGCATTGGATTTACTTTAATTATTTACAATCACCTGAATACATGCCAAATTAAACCTTAGTACTATGCAAATCAAGCTAAATAAGTCATCTGTACAGTGTAATCATTCTAACACAAAAACCCTTACATTTGAACTATTTTAGCAATGTAAGAATGCTGCCTCCTCTTTACCGCTGTTGAGACTTGGTAACACCAGTCCACTGTCACTTTTTCCACCTGCTCCTGACTAACTATAGTGTGGTATATTCTTATTAAAAAAAGGTTTTCTAGCAAAACACTTTCCCTATAAATTATTCTAAGACCTGTATTAAAATAGAAAGTAATTTTTAATCTCAACAGGTAATTTAACACCCTATATTTAACACATGGCAATCCTACGAGATTTAACAAGACCAAGTGCAAGGTGTTAAACTCGGGTGAGGGCAACCCCTCAGTATCAATCAATCCAGGCTGGGCGATGCACAGATTCAGAGCAGCACTGGGGAGAAAGACTTGAGGTGATGGTGGAAAAGGGGCTGGACACGTGTATTCACCGCCCAGAAACCAACCATGTCCTGGGCTGTATCTAAAGCAGGCTGGGCAACACCCTGCGAGGGATGGGATGCTCAGGTGAGATCCCACCTGCAGTGCTGCATCCAGATCTGGAGTGCCCAGCACAAGAAAGACATGGACCTGTTGGTGCAAGTCCAGGAGGCCACCAAGTCGATTAGAAGGATGGGGCACCTCTCGTATGAGGAAAAGCTGAGAGATTTGGGGTTGTTCGGCCTGGAAAAAAGAAGGCTTAGGAATGATCTAACTACCGCCTTCCAGTACCTGAAGTGACCCTACAAGATGGAGAGGGACTATTTACAAGGGCTTGGAGTGACAGGACAAGGGGTAATAGCTTCAAACTGAGAGGAGGTTTATCGGGAAAATATTCTTTACTGTCAGGGTGGTGAGGCACTGGAACAGGTTGTCCAGAGAGACTGTGGATTTCCCATCCCTGAAAGCGTTCAAGACAGGGCTGTAGGGAGATCTGAGCAACCTGATCTAGTGGGAGGTGCATTTGTTTGCTTTAGCTACTCTTTCACTACAAGAAGGCGTTCGCTTAAAGCTGGGCTCATGATCACCTCCTGCTTCCTGCTCGCCACTTGAGAGACCTCCGCGAGCTCCTAAAAGCCCCTTTGTAAGGCAAATGCCGTGTGCAAGTGCATCACCAGGCCTCACTGGACAACCTCCCCATTCCAGAGGGCAGCCACTCGTACCTTCCTTCTTGATCTTGTCATTGATGTTGTTGATGTAGATGGTGTGGTTCGGCCTGATGTCCATCCTCGGCGGCACCTGCGAACCTGCATGAGGACAGAGCACACAGGGAAGGCGTCAGCCAACGCCGGCGACACCTCACAGCCCCAGGCAGCGGCACCGCGAGCCTGGGGGGCGCCTTGATTGTCTGAATGTCCGTCCGTCCGTCCTTCCGCCCGCCCGCCCTCAGCAGGCCACACACCCGCCCCGCTCCCGAGGGCTGCGACGGCGGGACAGGAACTCCAGAGAGGGAACCCCGAGCCAGCCCCTCCTTGCGCCCGCCTGGATCCTAAATCCTGGACCCCGGATGCCAGACGCCCTCACCTCCCCTCTGCTGGGCGCACTCCGGTCCCGATGGCGGCCTGCCCGTCCCGCCCCGCCGGGGCGCAGCGCAGGCGGCACAGCCGCTCCCAGAGCTCTCGATGCGCCGAACGCCGATAGCGCCGATGGGGAGCGGCGGCGGGGGCAGCGCACGGCCCGGGAGCAGCGGGGTGGGAGGATTAAACGGGATAAAAGCGAGACAGGTATAAAAAGGGATAAAAGTTTGTTGGCGGCCGAAATAGGGATTTCTTACCTCGTTCTTGGGTTTGGCTCTGTCCTGTACTAATGGAGCAATAAATAAAGATACGTGGTTTTTGGTTGTTTAGTGGTTTTTGGTTGTTCTGGGGTTTTTTTGTTATTTTTTTCTTTTATTTTTTCGGTTTGTTTATTTGTTTGTTTGTTTTTGTCTCTTCTCAGCACCTAGAGCAGCAGCTCGGGAAAGCATGGATGGTTCGGGTTGGAAGGACCTTAAAAGCCGTCTAGTAAAACCACCCTGCCGTGGACACGGACACCTTCGACTAGACTGGCTTGCTCCAAGCCCTGTCCAACCTAGCCATGGACACCCATGGCTAAGCCACAGCTTATCTGGGCAACTCGTGCCAGAGCCTCACCACCCTCACAGTAAAGTATTTCTCCCGAATATCTGCTCTCAAGCTTCCCTCTTTCAGTTTGAATCCATCCCCCCTTGTCCTGTCGCTCCATAGCCTTGTAAACATTACTCTCCAGATTCCTCCGTATTTATAAGGCCTTATTTATTAGACCTCTCCTTATAAATTAGGCCCTTTCTGAAAGGCCACAATTATGTCGCACCAGAGCCTCCTCTCCAGGCTAAACAATCCCAAATTTCCCTTAGCCTCTCCTCATAGCAGAGGACCACCATCCTGCAAACCACCTTTGTATCCCGTTGTGTCCCTTCTCTGTCCATGTCCTTCCCTACAAGTCCATGACCTTCCCATGCTGGGGATCCCAGCGCTGGATGCAGTGCTGCAGGTGGGAGAATGCAGAAACTTCAAAAAGTCTGTAAATATTCAGTAGGTAGTATTTGGTTTTAGTTCCAATATTGAAAAGGCAGTGTATTTTTTTGGATGTAATTTTTTGAAGGTACTTTGAAAATCCCTGTGGCAGTGTTGTCTCAGAACAAATAAACAGAGCAGAGATTGAGGTTGCAGCCCTCGAATTTTTGGAATAATTTTGCAGGCTTCATGCCTTCATTTCTATGAATTATTAGGCAGGCTCTTTTCAGAAACAATTTGAGGTTGCAAAGGTTTACATATAAAAAAAGGAGTTATTGCAGGGGTGCTACTTCATAATCAATGAAGTAGTTTTTGCTTAAGCTATAAATTATATTGGGGCAGGCCATCTCTTTGTAAAGAACAAGAATATTAGGTAAAGTTCTTGGTTCAGTAATATTTCAGGAAAAAAACATTACTACAGATTCCAGGGCATGTAGGACGTATATAAAAAAAACCCCATGGATTAAAGGGTGTCAAAAATAAAAGCCAAAGGCAAATAAGCTGTTGACTGAGGTGTCATTCACTGGTGGAAGAAAACAGTGTGTTCTGCAGTTGTTTACAGCAGAGCATCGTGCAGGAAATGGTGTGCCAGTGGATGCCTTATGCAATGCATACATGTGACAAATTCAGAACATGACAGGCAGCAGTTCTGGTCAAGTGTTAGAGTTCTATTTATTTTCCTTTGTTTATTTTCTTAGAGTTAGTTGTTAAGAAAAAGTACAGCTTTGAAATGCAAGCCTATACAATACATTAAAATTCTTTTTCAGAAAGGCTGGCTGTACTGTTTTATACTTCCATCAGCAGTACAATCCATGTAACTTTATAATTTAGTATCAATGTTCAAAACTGCTTATTTGTTATTGAGTCAATGCAGATAAAGGAATTAGTCTCACAGAATCAAAAATCTCGACATTTTATAAATTATTTTTGAAACAAATTCCTTCAACTGCCCATAGAGAAGACACTCTAAAAAATAAATACAAGAAACCCTTGCCAACCTGACACAAAGTAAGGAAGAATTCATGGCTCCTATATTTCATCCAGCACAGCATGCCACACTTATACTTGCTCAGAGTCACTTTAAGGACAGCTGATACACTCTTGTAGAACTTGAGTGCAGTAAGGCAAAAAAATGCATCTTTCCAGCTCCTCAGATGGATTTTCAGTCTGCCTGCTAGTTCAATAAAAGTTATATCCATACCTCAGGTTGGTTTCCTCCTCACTTCCCTAAGGTTTATTTGAATTCCTTCTGTATCCTTGATCCCCAAACTAAGGTACAGCGCTCTCATATTCACTAAAATGGTCATTTCTGTTGTTTGTTCAAAAGTCTCTGAATGCTTGAAGTATTGTAAAAATTACTTCAAATTTCCTAGGAAGAGTACCTGCAGCACGTTAATAACCAATTATGATTCATCACCAATATAATGGCTGGGAACACACTTTCAGCCTAGAGAGGTACGTGCTTCATCAGATGTTGCCAAACAGCTCTGGAGAAACAAAACAAGAGGCACAGGGTTACTTAAGATATCTTTGCACCACTTCTCCTCTCCTGCCCTTTGCTTAAGGTCAAGGAAACCCAGAATTTCATTGTTATTGCTACTGTTTATTATGAAACCTATCATAAAGATCAAGGGTTGTTTTTTTTTTCCTCATCTTCCTTTTCTAAATTCAACAAAATTCCCTGAGGCATAAATAACCAAGAGCTGTGTATGGTGGAAGCTTCTTAGCTTCATGCCCTCCTCGTGGCCTTGATTGGATCCATATATAGTGATGCTTCAGTTTTCACAGCTGTTATGTCCTGTAAGAAGACTGTGGGACAAGCAAAGTTACTCTAATTTATCAGTATAGAAATATTTTCATCGCAATTAAACCCACACGCTAGAAAGGAACACAGTGCAAATGTTTTGTGATATGGCTGGATTTGTCTCCAGTATTTTTGCTCTGGCCTTTGACTGCTTTGTTCTGCTGTGTCAGGGAGAAGGTAATACAAAATCACTAAACATTGGAGCACAGACAAAGACAATGAACAAAGTGACAGGAAATAAGGAAATTTACTAGCAAGTGCAAACTGGCGCTGTGAGCACTTGCAAAGTCAGTATACATGAAGCCTCTCATTGAAGACAGAAAATGTTCCTTGATGGGTGAACAACTTCGTGATCTATATATTCAGTTGAAAGATGTGAAAGGGAAGGAATTACTTCCTATAAATCAGGATTTGCTGAGCAGCTGGACTAGCTGCTGTTGCCCAAAGCTGAGGAGTCCACAGGGATTTACAAATCATTGTTCGCAGGCTCTTCATATGTGATCTCTGCAAACTAAAAAAGCAGAGAGAATGGACAATGTAATAGCAGGACAAATTTAGTATTGATAAGAGCTTGGCAAAGCTTCACTCGAACCACCTGAATTAATTGTAACCACTCAGAAAAAGAACCTGGCTGACCCCATTTGGGGGACACTAAAACACCCAGTAGTAGACAGGGAGGCAAACAAAAACACCATACAGAAGAGGGAAAATGTACTGCACTTCATTCAATAAGGCTGCTTCATAATCACTAAAAAGATATTTGAGTGTATTGCTCCTTGATCTGAAAGAAAAGAACCTCTGACATTTATTACTGGCAGTTTATACTCTTGATTATTTAATACACTGCTTGACAGACTGTAATTTATTCAAAAGAGCTTCACTAAGCAGGGGAAGAATACACTAGCATGAGAAGTTATTTGTTATTGCTGTTTCAGAGGAAGAT